TAAGGACCAAATGGTGGGTAGTGCCTAGTTTCTGTTCAATTATATTTGAAGTGGATTCTTCTGAAAAAGTGAATAAGATACAGCATCCAGAAAAATCTCTGGAAGCATTCAAAAAAGAAAGCATGTTTCATTTGAGGAAATCATGATAGTTGTATCAATTGTTTATAGTATATGGCAAGAAATAAATTCACTATTTGATTTTATTTCATTCGATATAATTATAGCCTGTTGCCAGAACAATGAGATAGAAAAGTAAGATCATTTAATTAATTAAAGCAAAAGATCGTCCATATCCTTTTCCAAATATTCCTACAGTGTTACTACAAACTGCAACCTCAAAATCTTTAAAGTAGCTAAATTGGCAAGATAAAAGATCTGGCCCTCCAAAGTGCTCTAATTCCTATGATCTTTGCGCAATTTTTATGATACAGCATCTATAAATGTGAAAGCTGCTCCAACCGTTTTTTCAATGTGTAGAAAGAAGCAATTCTGAATTCATAAAAACTGTATATGCAGGGACCAGTTTTTTAAGCACTTTAATTGTTATGTAAATAAATTTAAGCAATATTTTATCATTTAAAAATCATTAATGCAATGATTTTAACTTAAATAATTTTCTGTTTACATTTTTATAAATCGTTAAGTCAAATTTGAAAGTAACGTCCTTTGATAAATAATTAGATTATTTATTTTAAACCCTTTGACATTTTTGAAATTTTAAAATTTAAATTAAGAGAATGAACAGTTCATTAATATATCTATTTAAGAAATGGGGACGAACGGAATTACATAGTAATTTAATTGTTTAAAAATAAATAATTACTAAAAGTATATCATATAAACAATCAAAATTTCAATGATAAAAGGATAAAGGATATTTATTCAGTCAATATCTAAATTAGGAAAAGTTATAAATTATATTTGGAAGTGAAGGTATTAGGCCTATTAATGGAATGCACATAATTCTTTTATGTTTATTGTTGAAAATTTCGGATGATCTAGTTCTATCAGATAAATCTGAGGTCAATTTTTCAGTTGAGTGGACATTTGATTTAAGCTAAAGTAAATTGAAATATGAAATTCAGCTAAATATCATTCTTAATGTCTTATTCCTAATATACTTGCAAAATATGGTTCTTTTCAAAAGTGATCATAATACTTGTATAATTTAGTCAATTAAAACTTGAAATTAATTGACTAAATCAATATTATATGGTCATAGATCTTAGGTACTAAACCAAAATTCTTATTTAGAATTCAAATCTATTTGTATAAGTTCTAACAATTTAGCTTTAACACTAAAATAGAAAGAAATCAAAATTTGATTTTAATTAATTGATATGAAATTATTATCATTAAAAAATTCCCAAAAAATTAATTCTAACTAAAATTAAAAGACAAACTCTTAAAAAGAAAAAATCTAATTATTATCATTTTTCGTGAAGTTTTTAAGAATATCAGCCGACTATTATGACTGGGGGTACGTTATAATTAACTAGATTTTCAACATTCAAGCATTCATTCTTTATCCTCTTGATCTTCATTATTATCCAAATTAATTTGCAATTCATTTCACTCCCTTTTTCTTTTTTTAAATGGGAAAAATACTAAGTTTTGAAAATTGTGATTCAATACTAATATTCATTAAAAACGTTGTAAAAATGTTTAAAAACCAAATCTTATATTCTGAATTTTAATTGAAAGTTTGACTATTATGATAATCCTCAACTTTTATACAGTTATGGAGTGGCTATGGAAGAAGAATGTAAAAACGATCATTATAAATGCATATATTTAATATTATAGGATTAAATCTTTTAGATAGTTTAAAAGAAAAGACAAAGCATTTTTTTCTTGATTTCATCTCCAAACTCTTATCAATGTATGTCTCCATATGAAATATAATTATAGATTTCGATGCGGATATATGTATCTGGATTGAGTCTCATCTCTTTTAAATATTTCTTTATAATCTTACTTCTCTATTTATAATTTAAACATTTTCGTTTTCTTATTAATTTATATTCATAAATATCTTTGGTCTATAATCTTTCTTAACACTAAATTATTTTTTCATTCATATCAATCATAATTAAATCCATTTCCAATATAATAAGCTTAATTTCAAATACAACAGCTTAATCAAATTTTACATTTTTTATAAAATTATAAAATAATTAATAAATTTAATCATTACTAAGAATTATTATAACATAGTTTTAACAAAGCTTGGCTTTTTTCAAAATTAA